TAGTCACATCTAAATACCGACCTATTGTTCGCATACATAAAGATATGTTTAAAATATCACTTTTATACATACCTATATAACTTATAACATAAAAAATTAGAAAATATTTAAAACAATTTGATTTCAATTTATTTATTTTTATTTGTACACGTCCCTTAATAGACCAAAAGATAATTACTTGTATTGTATTAAAAATCCCTGTTTTGGTATACTCTCAGAAAAATGTAAGGGAACACCCCTGGTTATCAGACGTTTCCCGTTAAGGATTAAATGTGATGCATTGTTGGATTCCGAACAACTAAGATTTTTGGTTCCCGTTAGAAACGAAAATCTATTTCCCAGTAATAAATAATATTAAAAAAAGAAAGAAATGCACAATTATACGCTTTTATGTTGTGTTAAACGTAATTGCCTCGCTTGGTTTAACACTCACTTTACTGACTTTTACTAATGTGTTTGATGTACTCGTTTGTTTTTCCGTCGAATCTAATTTAAATCCATTGTAATGAAAGTGGATAATTTATGATACGTGATCGCGGAATACATAAAGTTTATCACATAATCCGATCACCGTATTGCTTGGAAAAAAATGTATCTATCAGACACTTAAGATGTTATCATTAAATAAGATTCAAGAATGAATGATGCACTTTCTTTATTTCAAAATATTGAAATATTTATATGTATTGTATTTATTAAACACGAATGTCGTGAGTAAAAATATTCACACGCCTCTCGGTTCTTAATTATTTTCTCCGAATAATTGAAACCATCGAATAAAATAGCCATTTATCTTTAAACTCTTCTTTATATACAAGGTGTCAAAAAAGATGTATAAAAACATTTAAATTCTGTCGCATAATTTTACAAAACATAATGCTTAAATAAAATTGAAAGTTCGTCGAGAATCAGGTTGAATCAAAAGTAAATATTTTAAAGAAGTATTTCATCTCGTTAACTGTTAATTGATTCATTTAACTGACTATAAAATGTTTTTTTCTTATTTCCATAAAACGAAATTGGGACACTTTTACCGGTGCAATAATTTTATTTATTTATTTTTTTTTTTTTTTTTTTTTATTAGGTATTTTATAAATATTTTACTACAGAATTTTTAATTACGTACTATAAATGTTTTTATTATTGTGCTCGTTTCAACTTTATTTCTTATTTATGCCATTTTAATCAACTCAATTCAATAAAGTTTATTTAAAATTAATGTTTATTTAGAGTTATTTAATATTTTCAAAATTGAAATGTATTTTACGATAAGTATTAAGACCAATAATTAATATATACAGTACATTTTCATAACTACTATTCAAAAGTTTGAACTCAAATATACAACTATCTCGTTAAGTTTTATAAAAAATAATTATATTTTGAATCAATACGTTTATACACTATAAATGACCATTAGGTTTCACAAGAAAAAAAGAAAAAAAAGAAGAAAAGAAAGACCAAAAAAGAGATGGTCAAATACGTTTGAGAATAATATGAGCGCTGTTGGTGTGTGCGTAGGAGATGTGGAAAATCGAAACGAGTAGAAATTAAGGACAAGGGTGGCTAATCCCAAATAGTCGAAGGAGAAGAAGAAGGTCTCACGAGAAAAAATATATTTACGAGTCACGTAATGTTATGTATTAGCAATAAACAACAAATGTTTCCGTCGGTATGACGCGGTTAGTTGATATCAGTGAATAGACGAGCCGTCCGACTTCTTTGTTAACATGCAAATTTCCATAATCATTGTTGCATTATAGATAGTTGTTATTGTCGTGACACGTCGCGTCGAATACAATCAATCTAAATTGATTTATCCTCCGACGGTAAACGAAACAACAGTGCGACGCTTTGTTGCGGGCAGTGCGGGAGGAAAATTAGAATAATAAACCGCCGTGAACAGACGATTTTGCCCCCTACACATCGTTGTTGCAGTGGTAATATTCGCAGTTCACGAAGACGATGGGTGATCGAACGAAATGTGTACCAGACGGGCTTGAAGGGTTTCGTCGTCCCGTTCGGGTCGGAGAAACCGTAGAGAACGCCGAGCTCTTGGACGACGGTGATCGTTGTTTTAGGCTTTGCGTGCACCCGTCTGTTTAAAATGCACGCGTGCAACCATCGAGATTCAGGACATTATTTCATGTGCGATACGTATACACGATGCATTCGCTCCATTCGGGAAACGGGATCGTACGATTCCGTGATCAAAGGTGTGATCCCGTCGACGATCAATTCGTTTCCCGGGTGTGCGTCCTGAAGATCATTAATAATCGTCTTTTCGCTGTCCCGTAAGTGCAGACGACCGAAGCAAAATTAACATTCTAACGGTCTTAATCGAAACTACAGATATGTCAGTTAAACATTTTTACTTATACTATGTAGAACAAAATAGTTCACATTTTGGCTTACAACTTTCTTAAACGCTCATTTCGTCTGGGTGCTTTTTTTTTTTTACTTTTAATTTGCTTTTTATAAGGTTTTCACAAAATAAGATCCAGATCAACGTATTTATAACATCTGAAAGGTTGGTGTTTATTTTTTTTATTCTTTTAACTTTGTCATATTTTTTACTGCATAATGAGTTATCAAAATATATTTATTCTAGAAGAGTTGGGTGGAATAACAATAAAGTTATTATTTCTGGTTTATTTTTTTGATCAATCTAACATGCACAAGAGAGTCGACGTTAAATTATTTTCTATATTTGTATGCATTTTAATATTAATTTAAATTTTTAATTTAAAAGCGAACGTAACCTGTTATAAAAGTACAGTTATATTAACGACCATTATAATAAGATCTTAAGGAAACTAGTACAACTATTTTATTAATTTTTAAAATATAATTAATTTTTTTTTTGGTTTTTAGCGCTTAGAGATTTATAGATCAACAAAATCTAGACTCTATTAATAATGTACAATTATATCAACGGACACTTGTCCAACGGTAGACAATTCTAGGGTTTTGTTTTTAGAAGGCGTGCACGGACAACAATATAAAAGTAATAACGATGTTTAACAACTCACCAGACCGCTTGTTTAAGTATTGTCATAGTCATTATATTATAATTATTACTGTTATATCCTCGCGAGAAACGCTATATTTTTAAAGATCCGAATGAGTTGACGATTTTCATATAAATACATACGTATAATTACAAGACCGTAATAGATTCGCTAGATATAAATTATCTGTGATGAGAATAATTTAGAATGCAGCACATACCCTTTGTGTACTAGTGTTATGTATGCGGCGTATTATTTCAATCAATTGCCCGAAAAAATATGAAAACTGTATTCGGTTACTATGTCGACAATAAAAAGAATATTGTTTGAAAACTTTGTGTCACGCACACAATAAGAAATGGAAAGTGATCTGATCGCGATACATACCTACAAGACTTGGGTAAATTAATATATGAGTTGTAAAGAAAACAACAGTTGGCTAATTGTATATATAATTTTATGATGCTGTTGATTGAAAAAACATTTATTTGAAGTGTATTGTTTAGTCACATAAATTAATATGGATGCTACAATTAAGAATAATTGCTTTGAATTAAAAAAAAAAATAAATAAAATATAAATTATAAATATTACACGTGATGATCGTTAATGATCGCATTTTTATTGGCCAACCATTAATATAATAATCGGCTAATTAAATGTATATACACATAACACTAATGTGATAATATCGGTAAGAACTACTGGACCAAATTAAATTTTTTAGTCGTTATTCTTCGCAGTGTAATAAATTAGCATTATTATTATTAATAAGAATAAATTTTAAATTCATGGGGTTGTGAGTCGAATGTATATTTTTCACTACACTTTCAACCTACTAACCCGAGTGAAAATAAAAATAGATTTCATAAAAACTATTTAAGAAAAAATAAAAACAGGTTTTAAACATTCTTAAATATTGGAAATTCAAAGTATTCTAATTGATGAAAAATAAATGTATTTTTAAATAAAAAAATCTTTGTTTTTAAACATTCAATTCACTACAGTAAAAATGTTTAAAGTGGATGAATTACGTCGGACCGAAAAAAAATAACAAAACTATATACGTCTACTAGAGCCGTGGCGTTAGTTCTTTTGATATTTCTATCTAGATAAAAAAAAAACCATATCAAACCTTAAACACCGCGTTTTTATAGAGGTGACATCGAAGACGATATGATTTACTTATAGCGGTGATAGTAATATTATTTCGAGTGTTCGGTACGAAACGAATAAAATAGATATCGTGCATGATTACGCAGTCTCGGTACATGATTACGTTTCGCGACCGTCGGAAAACCGAAAGAGAATATTGTTGTAATACCATTTTCAGGGTGTGTAAACGAAACAAAAACGGAAAAACAAACGACGACGACGACGACGACGACGACGACGACGACGACGACGACGGAGCTCACGAAGCGTTGTGCACAGAGACGCGTTGATCTTATCCCAGGACAGTGTTTGGACGTGGCGAGCACCCGCGTGTTCGAGATCAAATATATATTTGTACAAAGTGGCGGCAACAGACGTGGCGAAAAAATTAAAAATTTAATATGCATCGGCGAAGACGGTCGATTTGCGAAAACCCACGGAGTCGCAGTGACCGGCGCGCAGATCGCCGGGTGCGTGCATGTGTGTAAGAGAGTGAGATAGAGTGAGAGAGAGAGAGGAAGACCGCATTGCTCGGTGGGCGAGTGATGGGAAAGCGAGTGAGGGAGAGGGGGAGAAAAAGAAAGAGACAGGAAAATAAAAAGTAGAAATGAGAAACACGAGGCTCGCGTTGTACATCCGTTTCCGAGCACGAGCCCTATATCGGCCAAGGTTGACACAGTCCGGCGTGCGCGCGCGCGCGCGTGTGTCCAGACACGGCCGTACCCCCGCCGCCGCGGTCCGGGCACCCCACCAACTCGGCCGCCGCGACGACGGTGGCGGTGGCGCGCCGGTCGAAAAACAGGCGGAAACCCAGTGGAATAAAAGACAACTACCTGAGCAAACGATACATCAGTGCAGTCGTTCAGTGGTGAAGAGGTACACACACGCAGAGAAGCACCGCCGAGTGAAGAGTACAGCAGCAGCATAAAATAATTATATCGTCGTCGTCGTGTGCCAAACCAACCGAAACTCTTCGCGTCCAATCGACCCACAAGCACCCAGCACAATGATGAGGAAACTTGCGTTCACGTGTCTGCTCCTGGTGGCCGTTCAAGCCGCGCACAGCCATCCGACCACCGACGGGGCCGAGGTTCCGCCACCCGCCGCCGAAGAGACCGTCGGTCTGGAAAGGGTGTACAGGGCGATGCAAGAATGCGCCGAGTCCAACATGGCCACGTGCCTGAAAAAGAAGGCTTTGCAGTACGTGGACCGCGCGTTGCGCAAGTCCGACAGCATCGACGTGTTCGACGGCATCTCTCTGGTCAAGTCCGAGTCCGTCGAGTCCAGCCGGGGCCTGAACGGCCGATCGCTATCCGAATCCGAACTCGACGAGTCCATGGTCAAGGACGAGGATGAGAAGGACACGCAGGTCGAGAACCTCTTGTTGGACCGCGTCGCCCGTTTCTTGGAAAGCCACACCCTTCAACTCAAGGTTCCGGAATCGTCCATCTCCAGCATGAGGAGATCTCTCGACGAAGGTAAATATCGCACTCCGTTGCCCGCACACGTTTTCGGTAAACCGGTTACCGGAGCCGACACTCGATCTCGTCAAATTATTCGACGACGTTTCTCTTTCACGGTCCGCTCACATATCGACTCCGGATGGTTTCCCGCGATTAAACTATACGCGTAGGCGCGTAACGATTCGACGTACACGTGCGCGTTGGCGCTATTATTCGCCGCGATACACGTACCGATTAGCCTACTTGGGCGGAAAAATCTATTGCAAACAGAACGAAAACGTAAAAACGCTCGTCAATCGTTTCGGAAATCCGTTTTTTTTTTCCATCGCGAACATTACGTTCTCGTTACGAAGATATTCGCGTAATCGTATCGGTTTACGTTGCGCGGTCGCCGTATCCTTTGTCAACCTATCTGCGCGTCCGTCCCACACCCCCTAGGCTGTCGATCTGCCTCGTTGACGGTTACCGAGGTAAGGTGCGGTACCCGCAAAAACACTGGTCGGTAACCGTGACAACACGTGCCGAGTTTTTCGTCAGTCATCGCGCGCGGGTCGATCGATTGGCCCGGGGCCCCGCGATAACTGTAAAACGCGTTTCGTATTGCTATTGCACTCGGCCGACACACCCGTCGACAATAATTATAAAAATACATTAATTCCGCACGGGTCACGCGGGCCGCGGCGTCGCAACGGCAATAGTATATGTTTACGGCGTCGTATGTGTGTTACGAGCCCGTAGGGCGCGGTCGCCGGTGGTCCGCGAATCCAAATATCGCGCCGCTAGGGGGGCCCCGGGTGGGTGTGACGATGTCACCGTTGTACCGGAGAAAGCCGCAACGATCCTTTCACCAAAAAACACTATTACCGTTCCGATACTGTACGGCGGTGGTGGCGGCGGGATCGAGATGACGAAGAGATTCTGCGATAATACATGGCTATGTCTTTTATTTACCGAATCATATCGCACTCGAAATCGTCGTGATCCCTAAACGATCACGCTCTACGCAATCGCTATGTAGGCCCACTCGTATGCATTCGTTTTGTTAACCTTTTTGTTTACTTATGTCCACAGCCCGTGGCAAGAAGAAGAAGCAACAAAAGATGTTGATGCCCCTGTTGATGCTGTTGAAAATGAAGGCTATCGCACTCGTCCCTCTGGCCATCGGTGGTCTCGCTCTGTTGGCCTTCAAGGCACTCATCGTCGGCAAGCTCGCCCTCGTCCTGGCCGTCATCATCGGAATCCAGAAGTTGTTGGCCAACAAGGGTCACCAATCGTACGAAGTGGTCGCCTCCCACCCTCACTACACCGAGGAACACGGACACCACGGATACGGACGCTCGCTAGAAAGCGCCCAAGACATGGCGTACCGCGGCCAACACTAACCGCAATACCAATACATCTCTCTGAATTTCTCCCCAAACCGTCACGCCCATCTCCCGTGACTCTTTCGCCATCCCCGACGAGGTGATATTTATTTGTAAATAGCTCGAAAAAAAAAACAAACATTCTCCCGAGAACGCGACGTAATTTATTATATATTGATTTATTATTATTTAAATTTTTTTTTTTTTTTACTTACATCCGATCGTATATTCCTTACATATTATTATCGCACGCAGACGACTGTTATTTTCTATTTTCCGAGCATCTATGCCTAATCGTTTTCCGCGGTCCTCGCGACGACGAACTCGACTTCGGTCATCCATCCGTTGACCACACTCACTCCATCCCTTCGCACCGCGGACCGGAGTGGCCGCAGCCCGTCGCGCCCGACTCGCACGACAATCGAATACGCCGGCGGCGACGACTCTACGTACGCATACACGACGGTCAATAACGGGTTCCGCTTAATCACTTCAGGACAATGATCGCAAACACACACGCTCACATCCACACATCCACACACACACAAACATACACACACACACACACAAACATGTTATAACAACAACGTTTACTTCGCCACGATTATCATTTACCCCGGGCGGTCGTTTAAAAATACAGAAGTTAACCTAGTGACACACACACGTTCACCATGTGTGTGTGTGTTGATATAGGTCGTCGGCCGGCGAAGATGAAGAAGAAGAAGAAGTATAAATCGTAAAAGAGGAAAAAAATAACTATTTCCCAAACTGGTTTTACCTATAAAATTCCAATAGAAATTATTAGAAATCTATTCTCTCTATCCCGCCACCTTGACCTTCTCTACTTTTAAAACACTACTGCGACGACTACGATCGACCACATACACGTATACCCAATATACTCGTTTTACCAAACTTGTTTTATTTTCCATTCTTCGTATCCTACATACGCATAATCATACAAATACATACACACACACATACACACACACACACACACTCGCACACATGCACACGATGACTTCTACGATCGCTTTATTCTGTGCTGTCCATCTTCACAACCTACACACTCGTACAAAACTTCTTATATAACTTACCAAAGACTACCTTTTAACTGACCGGAAATATATTGCTCACAAACCAATTATTTATTTTATTTATTATTGTAATGATATATTTATATATGAATATTATATAGTTTTTTTACCATTTTGTACTTGATTGATGATATAAAAACGTATTATGAATGCTTGAATAAAAACGATTTGTTTGTGATACGTGAACTTGTTATTCTTCTAAAGGAAAAACAACATTTCACCTGACCTACTCCATCGTTCATTATTGCCATTAATGAATTGACTAGTGTTTTTATTTTTATATATATCTTATAAAGACATGTTGTATGGTGCAAAAGACGTCAAAATTATAACTTATAATTTAAATACAAAAAACGTGAAAACAAAAATATATTTTCGTTAAAACCATCGCAACTCCTTGTACTATTGTAGTATACGGAACATAATGGACTTTGACGAGTTCTCGTTGCAGTCGACGTATACAATGCGCCGGCGGGTGTGTGTTGTCGCCGTATTAAATCGAACACGATTAAGTCTGACCGTTCGGTTGAGTCTGATCGATTGAACGAAAATACGAATTTAAAAACGAAGAAGAAGAATTATAAGAAAAACCGATGCGGCCACCAAAGAGCGTGGACCGACCGGAGTAAACGTACGCGTACAGGACTCGTGTTTGACATCTGGTCGGTCCGACGATCTTGAATCGGTTTCACCGTCGCGGTTGTACTTGTATTTATTTGTTTTTATTATTTTCGCGTATTTCATCAATGACCGACTCGAGCAGTGATCTGATGCGAGTGAAATCGTAACACTGCATTCCGCTGTTGCGGGCAAGACGAAACCCGATAGCGACGAACGACAATAATAACCATTGTTGTTCTCGTGCCGTTCGATCACATTTTATCCGCTGACGGGGTACGAGCTACACGAATTTGTTTTTCTTTTTTTTTTTCTTTTTAATTACATATACGCCTCGGAATCTGTGGCATACGTATAGTCTTAATGGTTCACATTTCAGGATACATATACAATTTACAAATAAACCATTGATAAGTTTAGTCTCGGTTATAAAGGCGATCATGAGACTTATGTCGTCTGGGCAAAGTGATCGACAGGATGTCAGAATACACGGATTTGTTTTTTTTTTTTTTGTTTCCGCTTATCCGAACACGTTTATAAACGTAAAACCCCAGAAGAGTGCAACGTTTTCTGCATTCGAGTTCACGTGCCAGTGCCGCAACTACAAAATAGGAGGCCGGTGTGCGGTAATTATATTAGGCCCCTTTCTAGGATTTATTTTTGTTGTACGTCTTATTTATACAGTAGAACCCCTCTAATCCATAACCTTCGGGACTGGGAGTGTGGTCGGAACGCGAAAAAGGTCGAATTATCAGAGTATAAAGAAACAATTGCAGATAAAATGTTACCAAATTTATTTATTAAATTATTTTTAATATAGTTTTTAATTATATACATTTATTAAATTAAATAAATAATTAAATAATAAAATAAATAAAAAATATATAAATAGTAAACGGGCAATTTATTTCATAAATATATCCAGTCACATACTATAAATTGGAAAATCCATATTCATATCGATGATACTATGGTCGGATCAACCGGAGTGGACGACTAGCCGAGAGCGGACGAGAGGGATTCTATTGTAAGTATCGATTTTATAGGTTTTAAAATACGTTTCACATCAGTTAGTGTATGATATATGTATATATATATATATATATAAATGTATTAAATTAAATACCTACAACTCTTGTATATTATACTTCACTACATATTTATGTAGTAAATTCATTTAAGTAGTTTAGGTATGTCATATACCTACTCAAATACTCAATGGACTCATTGTTAAAATAACTTAACGCATTCCGGATCATGTTATCAAACACCGTAAATATGCATTCAATGGTGTTACTTTTTTTAAATAAATATTATATTACTCTAAAATATTATAATATCCTTACTTGAATTTTAAAAAAAGTTTCTTTTTATTATAAAATAATAATATAATATTATTAAATAATTGTGTGTTTGTAAAGTTTAATTTATTTTAGGCTTGGACTAGAGGACCCCCAAATTTATATAAGCTTTGGGGCTCGTGTGCGCGGCACTGTCACGTGCAAAACGCAACGGACCTCTTGTTAATCACAAGTTGCGTCGGCCGAACCGAACGCGAATGATCAAGTCGTGCAGTAAACATAAGAACTCGTACGAAAGCGATTTCAACGTCGTCACGTTATTTCGGACGACAGGGACAACCCCTAACCCTCTAACCCCCGAACCAGTGTCTTTTTTTAAACGCCGGAAACCGACTCAGCGGGTCTCCGGGATAACCCAGTGACAGATAACCACTTACGAGTCAGTTCCCAACGAGCGGTTCCACTTTTCGGACAGGAAATCGTCGTCGGATATTCAAAAACGATCGTTCGTGTGTGCTGCGCGTACGTTACGTATGACAATCTTTCTTGCGAATCGTTCTGTGTTTGCTTTTCACCGAGTCAGAATGCTGTTCGAGGGGATTTACGATTGTGTGAGCACAAATAGATATATAACTGGCCACTTTTACCGAATTAAAGCCGATTGACGTTTAAATGTTTTTGCGATGTGCTCGTTAAATAAAGACAATAGCAGTTTAAAATTCGGATACTCCGGATATTATGTGATTAAATCGAGAAGAAAATCACCGTAATCCGAAATTAAAAATTTCTTTTACATTCCGATAGCGGAGCAAAGCTGATTTCTAAAAAGCCAAGTGTACACATGAACTTATCGCATAGGAGCTCAATATTTGTTAAAGTAGGGCATAATAATGACCGGCCCGATGAGAATAAAATATTTAATACCGTCAAAAAAAAAAAAAAGCTTCTCCCTAATTGATATAACTATTTTATACTTATAATTTATACTATGCTAACTACATTCACTTTTGTTAACATATTCTAATACAGATGTATATAATCCCCTCACTCAAACCAACATACATTATAAGCTTCGGTGAACTGTACGCTGAAAAGTTAAAATATTAAATACCCATAACGCGAATAACAGTTTCCGAATAAAATATTCATTTGTCTGTGCTATGTTGTAATGCTGTATCACGACCAATGGCGCGACTAGTGATGGGGTTTGGAGGTTGTAAAACCCCGAAATTTTTCTGAGGTTTATACAAATTCTACGTAGGAAAAAAAATGGTATATCTTTAAAACGCGAAACGGCTGATCGATATAAAATATGAATATTATTCGTATAATAATTGATAACAATAATAACATGACAATATAAAACGTTTTGTAACGTTCCGTTCAACTTTAAAACATCAGTAACCTTGCTACTACGATTTCTCGATAGTCGATTGTATAATACTTTTTTTGTGGTATCACGATGTGAAATAGAAGTTAAACAGTTTAATTTGTAATTTCAATATTTTACTCATAAATCTAACTTAATCTTACTTCCTTATCCCTACCAAACACCTGCAGAAAACGCTTATTTTATCCAAATTCACAATCATGCCCCCCCCCCACGAAAACCAATCCTGGTTGCGCCACTGATCACGACACTTAATGCGGAACCGATAGACGGCCCAAAGCTACATTAAAATCTGGGGTTTGGCAAATACATGCTCCTCCCTCGCCCAAATGACGCCTCTGTTTCCGTAGAACTTTAGTGGTGTGCTTGATGACGGTAAAAACACTCCGATTTTCGTTCTCGTAACGATCACTGTTTCCCGAACACGACCTTACCGGTAATCGTTGTGATATCGTAATAATAATTGTCCGACGCAGTTCGGTGTACAGTTTTCCGGGGCGACGCATCCCGGGCGATGTTTGTACGCCGTTACCGCCGCGATTTCTAAACACCCGATCGCGCCGCTGACGTTAATTATACAGACCCTGCACAGGGTTCGGAAAGTAAGCGCGCGCGATTCGTCCGATTATCACGAGGCGAAAATCCAAATCGGCCGACGGCCGCAGAGCGTACACACGCACGCGATCGAGCGCCGACCTCGTGCGACGGATCGATTTCGCGAACGGGATCGTTTATTTCCGCCGAGTTCGAAAATGTTCGCGACGAACGAGAATCGCGGACGGAGAAGAATAATAAGGGGGAAAAAAAAAAAAATGTAAAAAAATAATCTCAAACCGGTCCAATCCGGCGTCCGCGGAATGTATCACAACGTCCCGGTGCCGTTATTACACGCACGGCCGACCGCGGCGGACGTAAAACATCCATGGGTGCGTGCACGGGAATTAATGTAAATCGCCGCGATCCGGTGCCGTAAAACGTATCGTATTCATCCGGGCGCGCGCCTCTACCTACTGCAGGCTAACACGCCGCGGTGTAACGTCTCGTTGCAATATGTTCGTCGAAGATCGCGGGGACGAGTCCGACGTGTTTCCGACCCGTTCTCCCGTCCGGTGACCAAATTACCGCTGCGTGGGAACCGCAAGACTTTTCGGACGTCGACAGTCTCGCGAACCCGACGGCCGTTTCTGTCACCGTCATGCCAACCGTGTCCGGACACTCGCAAACATTACACGAACCCCGATCTCGTTGAACGCGCGCGATACTTTCGATTCCGGTGAAATTAGACAAATGGTCCGTACGTTTACTATATTGTTTTAGAAAAACGTGTTAGAAGTAGATGGTTCTAAGATAAGTAGCGTTATTTTTTTTTTTTATATTAAGCATGTTTCCGAATATTGTTATTACCGAAGCTGTTGCAGTATCTCAACAGCGGATCTGTGAGGTGGTTCAGGAGGTCGGTTGACCAACCGTTAATATTTGTTGACAAAACCGGCCTCTTAAAGACTTCTTATATTTTTTAAGTGAATTAGGTCGAAATTGATACTAGACTGGGACAAATGACTCAGTTGCCATCCCCCAAATGATGCCACTGGTTTAATCGTACAGAACGGTAAAACATATCCAAGCCATGTAGGACTCAATAATAATATAAAATAATTATGAATGTTTTCATTGAGAGTTATGATTTAACCAAAATACGCATATGATCTTTTAATGTTTTTTTTTTTCGTTACAAGGTTACATTTATAATCCAATTTCAGCCTTGATAAATGGCCTCTTTAAAATAGCTTGTCCCGCAGTTCTCTAACTGTGTATCCCGCCCCCCTTCCGTCTCGACTGTTACCTTTTAAGGCTCAACCACCTGCTGGATGGTGCAGGGAAATTCAACCAAATATCCGATTCTCCATTTCCTCGAACGGTGACCCATCTGAGCGCTAAAGACCGCAGAGGAACGGTTAACGATCGGCGGTCAAGACAATCAGCTTTCGTACACACGTTACGGAGGCCTACCATAATCGTTGTGATTTTTCAACGGCCTGCAATTGATTCGATTGAAAACTGGAAATGTTTTACCAAATCGAGCGTGTGTACTGCCTAGGTATGGACGTTACGTTGTGGACACAATATCCGTGTTCGGAGAACCTGAACCGCGCGAGTCGCCATTCAACGGGTGTGCTTTGTGATTTGAAACCGAGTGCGCGGTGAGAGATCGATAAGATCGGATATCACGGAGGTGTATCTCGGATGTTTCGGTTGTACTCGCAGGCCCTAGTCCCGCGTATTGTTCCGCGCGCAATGGAAAGCGGTGGGTTCGCCGACGTTTAATGTTTCGATTCGGCCGATAGTTTCGGTCCGGCGAACGCGACGACCGATAACCCTTTAATAACGACTGTTACCGCGGTCGACGTACACGTGCACGATTTGAAACACGGCTGATCGTTGCGCGTTTCCGTGCAATGTATCATCGGCGATTTAACTGCGCATAATAACGTGTATTATGTACACGCGCGTTGTTCGGGTAAAAGCGAACGCTCGCTCACAGTTGGATGCGCTCGAAAGGAAAATCTCGGAAACTTTCTTCGATCATTATATTGTTATAATATCGGTCGGCGGAGGCGGTGGTGTAATACCCGAGGTTGTGTTATGCGTGCGCGGTGCACCGGCTTGCACTGCCCACCGGTGCAGTCGCCGTCCGCCGACCGAGTCCAAGTGTCGACAGCCGTTAGCCCGAAAGATCCTTCTGCCAAACGCGATCGTCCTTCGCGCACAATCCGCGTGGGGTCCATCTCGTCCTCCGTTCAATATCCGGCACTGCGTCCGGCGTCCTCTGCACACCGTTCGGCGTCCTCTGTTTCGTTCGCGTGTCCTTTGCTCCTGGTCCGTACAGAGTGTCCTCCGGCGGATTCTTCGTCGTCATGACGTTCATCCTGGGCTCAGCTTACACGGTCGCGGCTCCGTTGATTTTCGTCGGCTTCGCGGCATGCGTGATGTTCTCCGAGGGGCCCGTGACCGACGGTGGTAGCCACGACGATGACAACGACAAAACGCTGACGGTCAGTTCGATGGTGAAAAGTTGCTTGGCCGGCGCCGATCCCTTCTTGCCGTGCATCAACGAACGGGCTATGGCCGCCATCGAGCAGACCGAGTCGATGGACGCGGTGCGCTTGGATCCCGGTCTGGAGATCTTCAAGCAGCCCGGTCCCGAGGCGTTCGCGCCCAGAGGAGTCTATACGTTCGGTAAGCTTCGTCCGCGCGACACGCTCGACGTGTTTTATCACAATAGTAATGTTATAATAATAGTATGCGCCAGTTGTCGGGAAACAGGGCCGTATTTAAAATTTCTTCACCCGAAGACGATAACGTTTTGCCGCCCTTCTTCCGTGATGTGTAAAAACAAAAATAAGCGTCTCGGACTATTCGTTAAAAAGCTGCTCGCGATTCATTTTCTCCGTTTCAATACGCTATTGCACAATATTTGTAATTAATATCGAATCCAAAATAATGAACGAGTTATAATTACATAAATAAGGTTTTAAAAAATTGTTTTTCACAAGACTGATGGTGGTACTCTTAAATAATTCAGTATCTTTCGGTCTGAACGTGCCATCCTCATTAAAATTCCATGTAAAATAAAATGTTCTTAAATAGATATACATTTTGTAAGCTACTAAATAATATAAATGATCTTATAGTATAAAATTTATTTTTTATATCATTTTATTTATTCATAAATAATTTTCCATTAAGAACGCACAAAAATCGTCTTGGTTTTATTTGGAATCACCATAAAAAATTGCCGCCCCCTTAAATATTTCAGGGGATCTATTGCCTCGCCGAATCACCCCTTAAATACAACCCTGCCCGTGAAGCACGGCGATCGTGACGGTAGTTACTCGTAGTTTACCCTTTGACGGGGAACGTTCCGCATAGGTAGGTCGTTCGACGTGCGAAAAATGATTATAGCGTAGGTACAATTAAAAACATTTTTTTAAAAACGGATTTCGGCGACCGACACTATTTTTATTTATTTTTATTATTGTTATTTATTTATTCACTTGCTTTCGATTCTAATGCGATATCATGTACGCATCATCGACAGCACCTAAAGGACGACAACGCGTCGTTTTTTTCGTATAAATTATTTTCCCTCGACATTGAAATAGACGCTTGATAATTGTGCGTGTTGTGCTCGTAATTTTTGTATTATCCGTTCGGGGGATGTTTAAAGGTTTTGCAGTGACTTAATGCTCAGCAAACATTTTCGGTCACATAATCCGTCAAGCTCGCGACCGGGAGTCGTAATGGTTCGATTATTTTAGATATTTCGAGGAGCGACGTGCTGAAGCTTCGAAAAATATATTTTTCGTCATTAAGATAGGGTGCGAGCAAAGTAACCTAACTTTTACATTATACGCAAAAAAATGTATTTCATAACCGAATTACAAGAAAACGTAATACGTTATGGCATTGAAATATTGTTATAATGTTTTTGTAATTATTTCAGTAGTATCGTCAGTCCTTTATCGGCCGAACACGTATCGCCATGACTTTTGTACGCCGTTTTTCGCGGATTGAACTATAAGCTCCTTTGAAGGAAACGACGAGTTCGTCTGAGCTCTTTTTATCGCTCGCTAGCTATTTATGTCTACGATTACACAGCTGTTAGGCAGTCGTATAAAAACTTGACCAAAAAAAAAAAATAAAAAAAGTTGCGCAGAAAATCAGTAATATAACAAAAACGCGCGCAATACACAGTTTTACGCATTCGGACTAAAAAAGTCGTATTCGAATACTTTGCTACTATTAATAATAGAAAAAAATAACGAGGTCGCGTTCACATTCGTGGTGAAGTGTGCGAATCATTTGTCTCCTGCGACTTCATAAGTATCGCTATATTTTCAACGTGTGCGATAGTCTCATGATACGATTAGTATGTACGAGTATATATGTGTGTGTGTGTGTGTGTAATTTCTTAAATACTTTCAAATAAGAAAGTTGATGTTCGCGTGTCTCCATTTAGGGTGGTATCTAGTTTTGAAACACAGCAAACATCAGTGCGGTCGCGACGAACACGGTATAGTTCGATAACGGCGAAGTATTAAATGGTCGTCGTAGACCGACCGGGTCGAATCTGTCCGATAAGATTTGTATGGATCATATGGTTTCCTGGCGAAAGTATTTCGGGACGATATTATTGCATTACAATTAAATACTGTTAATTATTTACATACAATAACAATCAACGGTCTGTACAACAATGATACAGTGTATTGTATAATAATTGGCACGTAAAAAAATAATAGACATAGTGGAAAAAAAATTGGCATAAAATATAAAATGTGCAAAAAACCCAGTAAAAAATAAAATGGAATAAAATAATTTTAATAATAATAATTTTTTCGTAAAAACTTATAGGTAACGATAACGATGAAAATATAACGGCTTTGAGCTATTAATAAATAAAAATTAAGAAAAGCAAAAAAAAATTGTTTTCTATTCATTTATTTATTATTTTTTTACTAATTACATAAAGATGAATATAAAATAATTTAAAAATTTTGTTTTAAAAATAATAAAGTACTTGTTTCAAAGGTAAAGCGAGAAGAATTAAAAAAAAAAAAAAATTTAAGACAGTGAAGATTTTATTGTCTTTTTCTATTTTCTATTTTCTTTTCGAGCTCTTATAATAAATTAATTTCTCGGCGTATTGTAAAATTCCGTTCGATTTAATTTAATTCGACAATCACTGTGAATCTGTACACTCTTAAGAGGACGCCGTACCCGCATGTGTTGTTTCGGTCGTATACACGTGCGACATGGTAAATTTTCGCTTTTAGTTTTGATATTAGAGTGAATTAACCTATTATCAAACTTATAGATAAGAACTTTATCTGTGTTTTCTCGTCGGTTTTTTACAATATTTTAATTTTCAAATGAGTTTTGATTGCGAACATTGTTAATATTTTAAAATGCTCGTAGTCTTTATCGTATCAAACGTACGCATTTGCTTTGCAAAGCGTACCCGCGGTGTTCCGGGCCGGCCGAACGAACACGGCACCACGTCGACGCGTGTGTCCAATATTCAACGTTATTTGAATATGAACGGAAATGGATAATCGATTCAACTCCGGTCGTAAACGCAACGGCGAACGCGGTCGACTCGCGCGATAATACGAACCGACCGGACATCGCATAGTTCGTTTTACCGATGCCTATTTGTCGTCGAAACGTTCGACCGCCAAACGACCATTGGGCGGTGTGTGGCTGCGCGTAGGATAATAGGACAGGATCGCGCGGGACAACAGTGTTTAGTAATAATCGCCGTACGGTTCGAGTACATTTTTTCTTTTTTCGCGAGAAAACGAAAATTTAATTAACCCCGCGCGTTTACTCATAACTTATACTACGTCGAACTCGTCGTTCCTACGCGCAAATGCGTAATGCGACGTCGTCGTCGTGCTGGAACAATTATGATTTACGACGTACGCCGAACACGTGTTACGACTTGTTTTTGTCAGCGTACGTACATTATACAGGTAATTTTGACACACTTATCACTGTTGAACGCGTATAATTATAGGGAGAGAAGTTCGATGTATATATATTTATTTTTTTTTTTTATTATAAACGCGCGCGCACATATGTACGTCCGAAATGAATTAACGCGTACGCCTAATGTCCGCGCACCGGTGCTCAACGCTTGTACGAACCGTTACTCGGATAAAGATAAGCAATTAAAATCGTTCACTGTACGCGCCCGTGTGTCCGTCTGTTATTGATAATAATTACAATATCGTAATGACCGATTTACCGAAATCCGTTTATAGTCGCCAACAACTATTCGGTCGCAACTCGGAGTCGCGATTTTCGAGACGGAAATATCTTTTTAGCCCCCTCCCCCCACCACCAATGTTGGTTATTTCGTTGTACTCGAGTGAAGCGAAAAAAAGAAGACTTTTCCAATTCCAACCTTCGAGATCGCTCCGATAACATTATCAACAATTTCAAAACGTCGAAAAATTTGCTGATCGCAGATTATTCGTTTTATTAATTCGTTATTTATTTCGATGAAACGCTTCGCGTAGATTATCCGAATATTTATATTTAGATAATATTTATTGTTTTATTTGTAATGAGATTATTTTTTTGTCACACATTTTTGATAAATTGATTTTTTTTTTTTTTTTTAAATAACTTTAATTTGAATTACCATTCTTGCAATGAAACAAATATATTCATTTCGTACCAACCGACAAATGTTCTGTAAAGAGTTGTATTCATTTTATCGCTGTATCGAATTGCGTTTCTAATGATGAGTATGAGATTTTAACAAGATTCAAAACTTCAACTATCAAAACAAGAATTGTTTGATTTTCCAGACCTAAAGAACTTAATTTGAAAAAACCAACTTAAAGTTTTATTCAGAACACGTGTTATTTAAAGCAATAGTAAGTACTGTAAGATTTACCAGATTTATAAACAACTTTTGAATATGAAATGTGAAAAATATTGAACAGCATATACTGTTGTACACGGCGGACATCGCTGAAACTTGGAGCGACAATAATAGTTTTGTTAACAACGATAAAAAAAAAAAATCTTGAAAAATGGTAAATATACTTCCATTTGTAATCGTTTACACGACGAGCGTAGTCGTTTAAACCCGTCTTACATAGTGTATTGAGCAGGTATACGACGTGAGTGGCCATCATGTTTAAAATTATAACGTAGCTCTGACACGCATTCTGCCGGGTGATTCGTCCAAATTCCTGATCAGTAGCCTATTTTACATATCCTCGCAGAGTGTGTAATATTACATGTTAATTTATTATTATCATCATGTTTTACCCGGTGTATGGGAAAGGTTGATTCGGTTACCTAAGAGTTTTTGTACAACAATAATATTATTTTACCGCACAAATGCTGTGCAAAATGTATTGGTATAACTAGCTATTAAAATAAAATATCGAAACGGGAAAAAAAGGTCTTCGAATAATATTGACCGTCCTTCTGTCTAATACTTTCCCTAGCCGACGGAACTTTAATATTTTACAAATATATTCGTAAACTTCATTCATCGCGCAATAACACCATAGGCTATACATAATTCATAATACATAATTCTAAACCGATAAAAACTTTACCACTGCTCCTTACGCAGAGTTGGGCATTAGCCGAATAAAATATTATTCGATTGAATATTTGAATAAAATAATATTCTTCATTGATTTTTATTTTTATTCATTATTTTAATTTGTATTAATATTCGTTATTCGTTATTCCCTATAATCATATAAATAATAAATTTAAATTCTAAATAACGATATATAATAATAATAAACTTATTATTTAGACTTAAATAATATATACAAAGGTAACACATATTAATACATATAATAATTGACAAAAATAAATTAAATATACTTTTATATTTAATATCATTTATGGTTTTAACGGATAAATTTATTCTTTATTCATAAATAAATTAGTTATTCATGCTTTTATTTTTTATTCTTTATTTTGATTTGTTTTTGCCCAACTCTGTCCTTATGTACGTCCAGACGTTTAACAACGTACTGTACATTAACACGTTTAAAACGTAAGGCTGAAAGTGAACAAAGGCGTTTTGTTTTCCGATAACGTGTTTTTTTCCCCGTCACGTATTTGTACGACGTACAAGAAACTTAATGAAAAATTTGCATATTTGTGGTCCCCGATAAACGAATGGCTAGACAATAACATGTCGGTATCGGATCAATAGGTACAACGACGACATGATGATTATGGATCGCATTTTCAATCGACGGTGGTCGAGTTATCGTTTGCAGAACAATATATTAATTACGATTATTAATCCCGAGTGATAATTTTTATCCTGCGTACGGCTTATAAGTTTAGTGGTGTAACATGATATCATAATATATATCAGTGATCACTATATTATAGTGATCACTGATATTAAATTCGAAAGTTTTGAAAGAATACTAAGCAGTGTCGTCACGAGCATTTTGCATTTGGTCAATGGCTAATGAAATGAGTATTGATGACAAATCTAATTCGAAGTTTAAAGAAAACTGTACGTAACATATTACATTTCCTTAAAATATTTACTGAAAAAAAAAATATATATTGGTTGAATAAAATTAAAATTAAATAATTTAAATATAACGCGTCACACGAGTAAAAACGAATTATTATTTTTTTTTTTTTTTCGTAAATTTCTCTAGCCTATACGTAACGTTATAACCATAAACCATGTTTTTTTTAAAATAATCTCTTGAGTGCATGGTGTATATTATGTAGTGTATCCAAACGGTACAAGGCAGTTCAATCGGATATTCAGTGTTTGATAGGATTCGCGCGAAATACCAGAAATTTCAAAGCTGTAAAATATAAGAATTATATTACATTTCATTTGAACTGATATTATTATGAATATATTAACATTTAATTTAATTCTATGTTAGACTTAAAAATTTCGTTTTTCCAAAGATATTCTGTCGCAAAACCGTGTTGACACGAAAGACTCGCAAAAAAATGTTACCAGTCTCAAGAACCAATATCCGGAGTACACGGTATCGTGTACAGGAACACAACTGATTATCGTTGAACATTATAAAAATATAAAATAAATAAAATCGTCCGGTACAAGGAAAAATTGTCATTTTAACATTTATTATTGTTATTGTTATTATTATTATTATTATTATTATTATTATTATTGCTGTGAACGGATGAGTTGTATTTAACTGGACGTCTGTTCCTTGAAATGCATGCAGGCGATAACCCGTACAACATCGGTGCTGTTGTTGAAGCGGCATCCTCGTTGCTGTCCAGGCGAACGTTCTGTTGGGACATGAGTGCCCTGTACCCGGGACTACAGATGCGGATCGGTCCCACGTTCAACGGACGAGGAATGATCGATTTCGTAGTGGACCAACGAAAACAGTTGGACGAGAGGAGTTTCGGTTACGGTACGTTTCTATTTGCAATTACCGTGTTTTATGGTTCTAAGCTTAATTCTGCGTTCCGAATGTGTTAACACTATCGTGGCGGAATCAAACTTTTAATTTGTACTGAGAAATTTTTAAAAACAAAATAACATTCACCGAAAATTATTCGTCGGATCGCCATGCATCACATTGCGCACGCGGTTAAAACAATCGGAAACCGAAGCGAATAAATAACAAAATTAGTGAAATGTAGTAAAAAAAAAAAAACGTACTGTGGAGTCGACTTAATAACATAGCGTACCATCAGATGTCGCTTCCAGTCATGAAAATATAAATTAAACGATAAATAATGTCATTAGGCGTGCGCAGAGTTTCAAGTCGGGGCAGCGAATATTTTTACCATTTATTTTCATACAAACTGCCTATACATAACTGGTATACCGTAGAGGGCTGTAGTGACTGTGTCTTTTTGTAATCCAAAACTTATTCGAACACAGTAAAGACTATAGCTCGGTAATCGAATACGCTTTTCTGATAACCAACTTTATTTTTATTGAGTATTACACGGTGGCCAGCTTGATCTGTTTGGCCCCTAGCAATCCGTCTAAAGTTTAGATTAGACTAAATGTTTTAGACTCTAAACCATCCAAGGCAAGAAAAGGAACACCCTGCTGCTCCTGTGCGCACGCATATGAAAAATATAATAATAGTTTTATGTATTCACAAGTTACAACGTTCAAAATTCTACGGAACGCAGAATTACAAATTTACCGCAAATATATTTTTCACGTATAATATTATGTTATGTTACCCATAACGTGATCGTTTTTGTTTAGGCCATATGATATTCAAAAGGTCTTTTTTACCGAACCTGTTGACCACGCAAATAAGTGTCGCGACAGTGATCCCGCTCATATTCGCTGCGCTTTATTTTCTAACGAAAAAAGCTTTCCTGCTGTCGAAGTTCGCGTTGATCATCACTAGTGTAGTAAGTGTACGACCGATAGAGTTCTAGTGCTTATACGCAAACAATAGTTATTATCAATGATGGGCGTTAACGTGTTAAAAAGTAGAGATAAAATATTGAGTTGCTTACTAAGTAATTTAGCTAACCAGCTTAATGTTTTTTTTTTTTTTAAAAGTAACTCCTTACCTATTGAATTGAACTGTTTTTGTGATAAACAGCTACTAATCACTCAATTAATTTCAAGGTTCACATTCGGTTAATTAAATGCCAATGATTTAAGGTGTCCAAAATGACAATTTTTTGTCCAAATCAATTTTTGTTTTTTAAATATTATGAAAGCGTTGAATGCATTGTTACTGGGTTTCAACAGAGACCAAAACATACACATATATATATATATATATAGCTTTATATAAATATCAAAAATACAAAAGTAATAACATTTTTTAGCCGAAAGTAACTTTTACTAGTTATTAGAAGAAAAGAATAATGACTTTGAACGTTAGATTTAACTCACATTTCTCTGTGCCAACTTAAATTGAACAATTTAGAAAAAAAACAACTGTTAACTGGCCCAGCTCTGGTCATTTGATTTTCGGTAAGCGATCGCGAAACACATTTAATCTGTACCATTTGTTCCGTTCTCGACCAAGGTGGGATACGGCTCGTTGTTCCTGCAACACAGCGGCAAGCCTTTCGGCCATTCTTTCGGTTACCGTCATCCGTCTTACCATCCCGTGGCGGACGGACATCATCATCATCATCCCATCGGCGGCGGTCCGTACAACGCGTTCGTCGGTGACATCAGAGGCGACAAGTTCACCGGAGACTTCAACGGGTTCCAGCAGATCTCGTCGTCCGCTTCCAAGCCACCGTCGTTATTCAGAGGCGTAAACTATTTCCCGCAAGAAGATGATCACGCCGCGTACAAGGAATCGGCGGACGCGACCAAACGCGAAGCGGAATGACAAAACTGTGGGCTAACGTTTTCCGATTGAAAATCGCGTTTACCACCCGGTATTCATCAACGTAGTTATGGTACGATACGTTCGTTTTGAATATTATTACTGTTCGTTCATTCGTTGGGGCTACAACTTTTTTACGCGTACACCTCTTGTACAGATATTGTTTCCTAAAAATATTATTGCGGACCGACGCCACGGCTGTATTTAAATAATAATAATAATATATATATATATATATATATATATATTTAGTTCCTAAGGTCTATGTACTGTAATCGGTAATACACACGCACACCTGTTTTTGTTGAATATTTCGTAGCACCTTTATTGTGATAACTATTTCTATACATTTTCATACGTTGAACTCGCAAGACCTACTTATTTTTAGTAATCCATTATATTAAGCTAATACTTTGTTTTTTATTTAAACCACCTAGCATATTATAGTACGTTGTACATGATAATAATAATATTTAAACAATCGGAATTATGATTAAAATTAAATTATAAACTAATGTTTACACTACGTGACTAGAGTTGAGTGCATTTGAAAGTAACTTTTTTTGTTCGTATTATTTTATGTTTTTTTTTTTTTTTATATCTTGAAAATGTAACATGGAAGATTTTGTTTTAAGGATTCTCCGTGTGTATTCGATTTCGATACAAACCAAACGAAAAATTTTATGAGAATTGAAAGTATGTCAATAGAGATATCAAATAATATTCAAATACGGCTGAATAAAAAATACTTAACGGACTATTCTGATAATGTTTTTCACGTTTGATACACTTCATACATTGAGTAGGTATACTCAATGTATTCAACGCGTATACATACAATGCGCAGTGTACGTGAAGTACTACAAATCGTTTCTCGTATAGAGAACTAAATCACCTCGTAGAAACGAATTGGGACGTGTTCAAATAATTATTATTACGACCATGGGGGTCATGGGGTCGACATTTGCGAATAGATTCATGATAAACTAATAGTCGGTAAAGTGATTAGCAATAATATCATTACTACAATAATATCATACTAGCCTTGGAACAGCCATGGCCGGTGTAAAAATGATTCCAAAAACCGTAAAGTGTTAAACTTCATTTAAATTTTTATGTATTTTTGTACTTTTTATCACTTACATTTTGAACGAGGCGTACAAGTGTATGCTAGTTATAAATTACAATATTCGATGTTGGCACTAACAAACGGTATTGCAACAAATATGCTGTCCAAAATTAAACCGATTTTTGTGTTATAGACGAATCAAGAAAACGAAATTATTTTAGTATATTTTTTTGACAGTATACACGCTAGTGCATTATTTTAATTTCATTTGATTTTTTTAAAGCGTTTGTTTAGAGAATACTCGTATGTGAATTATTTTAATATTATTTCGATTTGTTATTATACTCGTTTGACCGTTAATACACAATAGTAATTGATTACTAGCCAATGATGGTCGAAATAAAAAAGAACAGACGAGCAATGATGATGAAAATATGATCGAGTTGTGTCACGATCTTATACTAACATGTATAACAACTGTTTAGGCTGAAATTAATTTAATAGTTAATAATTAATTACTAGCTAATTTGAATTAATCAAATTATTATAACCTAGTAATTTAATATAACATTTATTTTGTAGTAATTGATTTTAGTTTGAAGAATTTATCAACAGTGAATAGTACGTAAATTATTCTAACTAATATTAACTACGTAGTTAATATTAGTTAGAATAATTGAGCAAAAGTAAACGGTAAACAATACTAATTATTAAGGAACGGATTTATATGTAATAAAAATACAGAAATATGTACATATATATGTAAGTAAAATTTAAAAAATATATCCTAAAAACATCCAAATATGTAGGAAAAAAATTAAATTAAAAAAAAAAAAAAAATTATAATTATTAAACTATCAAAATGGTTTGTTGCATTGAATTATTATAATATCTTTTGAATTATCAAATATTAAATGTCGCCTATTAGATCTGAAAATATTTTTAAAATTGTTAAATGGTCGTTCAACATCAACCTACATCGGTCGATTGAAGCATTTGAAACGCATAATATCAGAAGGCGATAATTCCAAATTTTTATAAGGGTGTTTGCCACTCATGTTATTGATTAATTTAAAATCAATATAGCCTGGAATTTTTTTCTGCAACAGATTGAATTTTCTTTTTTACAACATCTATTGCTCCGCTTACAAGTTTTCATTTTTAAATCGTTGATTCGACAATTTGCATACTATTATTCACAGACATATTTTTTTTCTAATTTTGTAAATGTATGCGCAATTTAACTAAAACTCACTGAGATGAAAATTAAATTAGTTTTCAATGTTTTATTTTGCATAATATTTTGAGCTTTTCTAATATCGATAGAAGTTACTGGATCTAAATTTGAAATAATTTCTTGTATTTTTGTACGAAGAGACATGTAAAGCCAGGATCCAGCTTCTCGTTACATCGTTTTATCTTATAAACCTAAGTCTTAGTTTTATGTCGTATCATGTGCGATTTAAAATAGGTACATATGACAAAAATATATATTTGAAATTTTAATAAAATATTTAAATACTTTAAATACTAATACAATAGTACATTACACGTGAATATATATTCATCTGTAATGTACTAATGTCTTTGTATTCTTGTACAATAAAGTGTACGTAAAGTATTTATTTTGTTGTGTATAATTTTGAATAACACCCCTCTTTTGAAATAGCTAGCTACGCGACTGGTATTATGATTTATAAGCGTAGAGGAATTTTTCGCGGTATTCAGATTTACTAGTTCATGAAATCGTGGGTTTTAGCAAAACTAAATTAAATATTCGCTGGAACTAATGTTTTTCTCATAAAAAGTCAATGCGTATAATTTAATAAATTAACAAATTATGGACAAACGAGAAATATTGTTTTGTAGTTAAATCTTCATAGGATAAATAATAAAATAATGACTCTAGTATGTGGATTAATTGTTCACTTGGAGAAAAAAAAAAAAAAGGATTTGTGTGATAAAAATATTATAAAAATATTCTATAAAATTGTCTATAATGCAAAAGTATAATTGGTTAGAAGCTGAAGTGGTGAGGAAACAACACAATTCAGCTTATTATGCAATCAACATTCTGTACTGTTATTTATTTTTGTCAAATTACAACAAGGACTGCTCAAAAATGTACATTATTATTGCTGTACTTGCCTGCTAGTTCACTCAGATAATACATACGCAATTGGTCCTAAACAATATGATCATTTTATTTGGTAATTTATGTATAATATTTTATTCGGTCGCGTGCGTGACGGAAAATAAACGCGATACCGCAGTTAAACACAGTAAAATTGAGTAGTCATTAAGTGATGCAACGATGGCAATCGTTTGAGATCGGCGAGCGAGTGGTATTTGAATTATGCATAAATATATGTATATTTTAATAAAATATATACAGATTTACTACAAAACAAATTTCGGAAAATGATAACAATCATATACACTTAAATGATCGTGATAAAATATGTTCAGTTATGATCATGTTCAGCGTAAGGTATATTTTGATCAAAGTAGTGTTTAAAATAAGATACAATCAAAATAAGCAATTTAATTCTCATGACCAATTTAACGACAAAAGTTGTATTTCAAATTTTTATATACACAAACTATTAAACCGACAGAATAATAGAACTAGTACGGTACGTTCACATTATACTCGTGTAACGACTTGTTAATTGAGTTCAATTTTTTATGTTACGATGGGTTTGAATATAAAATATTTTACAACCAAAATTACCGAACTGCTTTAAACATATATTTCTTACCAGAATTGTTTATTTTTGATTTCTTGCAAAAAAAATCTTCGTGCACTCTAAGAATATTATCTTATTATGATAATGTACCGTATAATCAACGGTAACTATAGAAGCTATTTTATAAGCCGTTGTTCTTCCGTCATTAAAAGTTTCGTCAAAATACTTGTACGTTCGTTTTCTTCTGTCATAGAACACTACAGCGTTTTTTATTTTAGTGTATATTTTACATAAAAGTCGTATATGCTCGTTTATGCTTACAGGTTATGAGAACTTTTCTAACCACGCAAATAGATTTTATCCCGCTTAGTTTAAAAATAAATAGATAATTATTTCCGTTTTATTTTATTTAAAAATGGAATTTACTGGTTAGATCATAATTAATTATTTTTGTACTTGTAAGGCGACAACGAATGATGAAATAAATAAAATTTGACCGGGCGCAACGGATCCCGTTGTAACTAACATGGCGTCTTGTAAATATAATAAAAATTGCGTCTCCAACTTACTGGGCGAGACCATTAATTTGGACCACAATAAGATTTTTTATAAAAATAATCCATTAGGTAACATCAAAAAAAAAAAAAAAAAAAAATTAAAATTAAACATCTAATGACTCGTTTTTAAAATAAATTAAACCTGAAAACTAATATGAAAATAATAATAATAAAAATGTAGATAATAGTTGAGTCGTTGTGTTACGCCATACCTTGTGACATTCTGTCACATACCATGTAGGATGATCTTTAAAAAGACTGTTGCGCGTACTTTATATGACTAAAGATGATTTTCGAAAGGAAATAATTAAACATTTTGTGAGACCGTTGATAACAGAACACACAAAAAAAAAGATATAAAGTTTAAGTTTATTAAAAAAAAATAATTTAAGTTAACGTGAGGCGAAAAATCGAGCGATCGAAAACCCTCATATAAAATTTAAAGGAATCAAACCAAAAAAAAAAATATAGTTTAACAAAAATAAAATATGATACCTACACTTTTCAAAATAGTGCGATGAACGATTTCGGGTACCTGCCGACCGTTCAACATGGCGTACCTACCGTTTAAGTACGGCTGGTATACGTTCCCGAAGAGTTACTAATCTGTGGACTAGTCGGACACGCCTGCCGAACGATGGGACATCCCGAAATAAAATGTACCACCAATATCAGTAAAAAAAAATTAGAATAATGATAAAACTGGTCTGTTACACATCCATCGCCGTTAAATATCTCAATACGATTAGAAAATGCTATTATATAAAAAAAAAAAAACATCGAAACCGGTGCTTATGCTCAATAATAAATATAAAAAAAACATCTATGTACGCAACTCACCCCTACATACCAATGAATATCAATCATGACTCAACCATGGCATTTTAAAATAACGACTTTTTTTTTCTACCTGCAAATGTTAAGGGCCACATGTGTCTTATTATCTTAAAATTATTGTCAAAGGTTTCTCCGTATCCATCGGGTGAACGTACGTAACCCAATATCGTTGAAAGGATAATTAACTGCATCAGGATAGTTAAATGGGTCAGCTATACGAAAAAGACGTATAACAATATTAAGCACACGCATCACCTATTCTAATTAAAACTGATGTATTTACAATCCCAGAAACGTATTACACCGTAGAAATAAAATCTTGAAAGAATCGATTTTGTACACATGTTTTTATCGAACGCGTTAAGTGAAAAAAAAAATATACTTTTTGTGAAAAAAATATGTGTACACCACCGATTTACTGTTGAACGCGGACGCGTTTTTAGCTACGACCCAGCTTTCGACGACTACATTCCGATTATTGTCGCGCGGACTACTGCGGAACCCGTACGCTGCTGCGGTCCAGTTGATTTTTGTACGCCAACTCGCTGGCCGCGGCCCACACACTGCGCTCGTCGTCCAGATGGCGGCCGGAAATCTTGCGGTACCCCGAAACGTGCTCGTTTCCTGCTCCTGATCCTCCTCCGCCGCCGTTGAAGCTCCACGACGGCTGCGCGATTGTTCCGACGCCAACGCTGCTGCCGCCGAATCCCTGCGTCAGCTTTTTGATCGCCAAGACGGACGCCAGCAGCAACGCGATCTTGGCGATGATCAAGGCTTTTATGGCTATCATCGACACGCCGCCCATCATCATTTTCGTGAACATACCGCCGATAATGGTCATACCCATCGAAGTGGCCGCCATCATCATGCCCATCTTGTGTTTTTTGCCGAATTTATACTTCTTACGACCTGTAATCATTTTCCGAGCACTTTCAATATAACAATATTCCAAACGCTTTGTAAAAAAAAAAATAACTCGGTTCGACTTTCGTGATCCGACTCATGACAAAGTATAATATAATATATTATAATAACAATAATCATTTATCGAACATCGAATGGTGTATTTACAAGATTACAATCAATATAACGTGTGTAATGTCCCAATTGATCACCGAGGATAACTTCTTGTTGATGAAATTGAAGTTATAATAAAAGTTTAAAGCTGTACTGGTGAGGAGAGAGGTATACCACGCACGCGTTTCGAATGATTTTTCCGTTTCAGTCGCTATAGAGATCCCGTAAATAGTTGGGATAATTGTTTTATAAATCCTAAACTGTTAATCGCGTAATCTGGAATAGATTTTTTTGTCGCTGTAACGACCTAATATAAACTTATAGTGTGTGTTTTTTCGAAAAAATCATACTTTCCAACAAACACGTTCGAGTTTAAAATACACAATGTTGATAAAATACCGTTGCACAAACGTACGTAACCGAGTATGTGATCAAGAACCACAAGACAAAATGTGAATGTATTGCGATTCGGATTTTTAGTCCTGCCCGTTATTTGTAACACGTAACATCCGTGTTACCCCGTGTACGATTTTTACGACGAAATCGACGCGCACCAGCTGTACGTTTTATTTTAATTCTTTTTCCGCTACAAAGCCGGTTAAATATTTGTATGGCAACACGCGGTCTTATGTTAGTGATCGTTTCGTCCGAGGGGTTTTCCGTGTTTACATCCGAGTGCCCCTCGTGTACACACCCCGTACCAAGCAAGGGTGGTTCCAGGGAGGGGCCTAGGGGCCTTATTTATAACCGTATTTATAAAAAAAAAGCATATTATAATATGGACTATACGACACGAACAAGTATGTAGATAGAGCCGTAGAGGTATGAAAGGAGTTTCTCCGCAATTCGGAGACTAAAAACCTGGCTTCGTTCGAGGATGGCTGAAGATAGACTATCAGCATTATGTCTAATTAATGTATGTTATAAAGTAGATATTCTAGATCAAGTGGATCATATTATTGATATTTTCGCCAGTTTTAAAAATAGACGACTTTAATTTGTGTTGTAAAAATTGTCGTTTTCTTTTTGTTATAAGATTTTGTAAAACTATAACCCCCCCCCCCCAACCAAGGCTCTGGAGCTGCCCCTGGTACCAAGTCGTGCAACCAGTGCCGACGAGCGTTAACCATTCAACGTACCTTCGAAAACGCCTCGTTCCCCGATGGGCCGATCCATCTCCGCTTCGGGTCCGTAGCGGACGTCCAACGAGTCCGTTACGCCGGTGCTGCTGCTCGAACGGTTGCCGGCTGCTACGACCGCGGTCGCGGTCACGTAGGGGTCGAGCCGGTACGTACGGTTGCCGCGGGACTCGCGGCCCGAGCACTCGGCGGCACCGCCGGACCGGCAACCATCCGCCGGGGTGGCCACGGTGTCCGCCGGTGTGGCCGCGATGTTCGCCGGGGTGGTCGCATGGTTCGCGGGCCGCGTGGTCTGCGCGCGCGCCGAAACCGCTGCGACGATAGCGACGTACAGCACGCGCATGATGCGTAGGTGGTATTGAGCCGGGAACGGTGCGAGTACCTCGTTCTTATAGGTCAGAACTCTGCTCGCCCGCCGCCGACGAACTGCACGCGGCACGAGCACTGTAATGACGCTCTGGTGCCGTTTAGATCGACTACGGACCGGATGACGAGACGACGACGACGTAAAATGCCGTACCGTTCGCGAGCGGGTCCGTAATTGTCGGTGCCGCGTCTCCGGCCTCGCGGAACCAGACACGTGTACGGCACAACGGACCGCGAACAATTATTGTTACTTCCGCGGGCACGTTCAGTCCGGGTGGATGACCGGTCGGCTGGTGTGGGGCAGGATATTACCCCTAGAAAACGTTTGTTCGTTTGTTCCCGGATGGTCTGAGACGAGCACTGGGTAGTAGGTGCGTAGTACGTACGCGCTCGCTATACGTTACGCGATCATCTTTTCATTTTTATAAAAATCGACGTTCACCTACGCGTCAATAGACCCAAACACTGGTGAAATGATTCGTGTGGTTGGTGTTTTTTCGATAAACCCTCTCCGAGTTCTCCGGAAAAGGCTTAAATACGTGCAATCGTATAGTTGTAATAGGTAACGAAAACTACGGATCGTCATTAGTGATCGTTCGTTTTTCCACGTCGTTCCACCATAGATGCCATTAAGATCATCCGTTCATTGTGTTCACGTCCGGGACAACTATTTACACCTAATGAAATCTGGCAAAGCCTTCTCGGGTCAGCTAGAGTATAACATAAACGTTGTATAAGATACGCGACCGTGTGAATATAATTACCGCGTTTAGAGATGGGTTAACGAGAAGACGGATTTTCGGCCAAGTGTTTTTTTTTTTTTTTTTTTTATTATTATAATGCGATACGCGACGTATTATTATAATGACGACCGAAATATGTATATCACAACTTTGCGTTTAAGTCTCCGTTTCCGACCATGTCATTATAAACGTACGATAATACAATACATTAAATAGGGCGTACGCAGTAGAATAAAACGTGTAGATAAATGCAAAAACAAGAAGCATGACGCATAATATCGTACATTATGATATTGCCTATGCCCAAGTCGGACACCGCCGAGTAACCCGGAAAACTGTAAAAATTTAATTATTTCTCCTAGCTGCGACGCTTACGGAACAACCCGATTTTATGTCACTCATTCGTGTATTATTCTATCTGAAATATTTCATATCAAACACTTGTAACATATCAGTTCTTTTACGGGACTTAAGAGCCACGTTTCGTGTACTCGTAAGGTATGTCAACCATTAATTCATTACACCTGAAGCCATATCCACTTCATAACCGGGCATCATGATTGTTGACTTCATCGAAAATTAAGCTCGAATGATCATAATAAAACGTTCCGGTGTGTCGATGTATGGATGACGGTACGGAATGGTTCAAGTCCGAAATCTTGTCGTTGCAGGAGGAAATTTTGATAATAATATGCTGTACTTAGTACGCGTTGAAGTGGCACTGTGTTTTTCAATGGATTATAATATTTTTATAAACATTTAAATTCACTTTTAAGTGAATGTCAAAATAATCACCGTTAGTAATACAGTTGAACATGTGCGGTAACAGCGCCGTCGATGACATCGATATATCAGTCTTATCTGCATTGATGCGGCCGGTACAGAAAATTGTAAGAGGGAACGTGAAAGTATACATTTTTATATGATAAAAATGACATTTCAATAATTTTTGATGTTGCTGTGAGAAGACTTTAAATGTTGGTAACGTTTCACAGTCAAGAGTTAAAATTTTTAAAATTCGTTACAGCTAAATGTTCTTAAATGTCGATACTCGAACACTGGTTGTATCGACACAAACCTGTTACACAACCGAGTATTATAGTATTGACCGTAGTACAAGTATCTTCAGTTTTTGATTCATTGACACGATTGATACATTATACTATGAATAGTTATTAAATATTATATTCTATGTACATAAACGAAACTGTCCTGAGTGACTGATTTATAATCAATCTAGAGCCTATTAGAGCTCTAGATTTGAAATTTTAAGGGTAGATTTATGATAGTATATTATAGAATATAGGTTGATATATATATACAATTTACGCGTAACATTTTTATTCTGCTGATTCATCAACCATGATAAATAATTGAAATATAAAATTTAACCTTGTACAATGAAATTATTTTTAAAAAATTTCATTTTAAGGGTTTGGTGAATAAGCAAAAAATTTACGTCTGAATTATATGGATGTATATGTATATACTTTCTTTTTATATACTATATCGATGAGGTTTATAAGCCGTTAATTTCTAACTGTACGTTATACGTATATCACATTTGAATTGAAAGCTTCAATAAATGTTATGGTGTGCTGTGTAAATATTATTACTATTATTATTGTTCATTATTTATTTATCATTATCTACAAGACATACTAATTTATTAACTTCACTACTAATGAAGCTACTACGTAAACCAATCTTGTCAAGTGAAAAATGTATAAATAAACAGAGTATTATACTCGATCATTGTGCTTGTTTGGAAAGACAAGATTCTGTTTGAAGTTCATATTAGAAAATCGATGCATTTCATTATATAAAATATAATAACGAAACGTAATTGAGTAATATTATCATTATTATATAATACATGATGCAGCAGGAGAAATAAACAAAATATTATCCAGATTAATTTTTTTAACTCACTCAGCCATACAGAATTTCCACCACATTTATTAACATTAAAAATAGGCACTCCTATAATGCTTCTAAGAAATCTTAGCCGGCCGAAATTGTGCAACTGGACATTTCTACGTATAACTGGTCTTCAAAAAAATCTGATAGAACCTGAAATTATGACTGGATCTGCAAAAAGCGAATCAGTTTTTATTCTTCGCATACCAATGATTACCAATCAGATTACCTATTCCAATTTAAAATAATGTAATTTTCTGTCAAAGTATATTTGGCTATGACACTAAACAAATCGCAAGGTAAAATATTGAAAATTGCAGGGATCGATGTAAGAGAAGACCGTTTTTTCACATCAACAGTTTTATGTAGTATGCTCCATAGTCAGTAGATACGCCCGCAAGCTTAGTTATTTTAATTCCACAAAAAAATAATTATATCGAATGTAGCTTATAGATAAGTTTTCGAATAAAACTGTTGTCATAAATCATTATTTTTTATTATATACTTATTGAAGTTTCACGTGTATCGATTTCATATCGTCATCGTACGGAAATCGACACAGCAGCACAGCTCTGCCTTGACGTCCCTATGGTCGTCGACGACTGCCTAAAAAAGACATTGCTTCCTCGGCGAGTTGTACCCGAATGAGTTGAACACTCGCAATAGTTTTTCCGGGCAATACCGGGTGATTCAGCTAGTATAATACTTAACAATATAATATAATATATCTATGGTATACAGGGGCCGAGTGAGTGTGCGTGCGTATGTGTGTGTGTGTGTGTGTAAGTATTAAACTGCAGTTATTTACAATACATATTTATGTAGCGATTACGTGCTGTATATTGTGCGCGGTCGTGTGCGTGATAAACGAATACTGTGCATGTGTATTATTATTTTTCTAAAATATAGAAATTAGGCCTTCTCGCTCGTTCGTTTGAGCGCATGTCAATGCGAATATACAGTTTGACAGCACAAAGCGCTTTGAATTTTCATGTAAAAAGTATCTGTGCGTTTTGTCCATCACCGCGTCGAAGGATTGACTAATCCTATTTATAATTTTTTTTTCTTTAAAGATTTCACGTAAATTATTTCAGTATTTTTACTATTATTATTATTATTATTTTTTTTTTTTTATTAAAATATTTATACTGGACTGTGAATATGTTTTACCTTTCAAGCCAAACGGTAACAAGGTGAAAAACCACGATGAATGCATTCATGTGGCCAAAATTCATATTTATTCGCGTCCGCTGTATTGATTTTCAATTAAAATAATACAATATTTCCAAAACTTTCGTTATAATTACTCATGATTTAAACAATCTCGTAAGTATTTATCGCTTGAATATTCAAAATGAAAAATAAATTGTAATTACCAAACACGTTCATTTGTGATAAAACACCGCTGTTCCATTTCAGTTTGCCAAGTTGTTTTCTTGTTTTCTTATTTCCTATCTCACTATAATAAACTATCGCATCGTGTATGTTTTACAAGAAATCCAATATGGGCTTTCCTTACCGTTTCAAAAACCAACTATTAAAATGTTAGATGAATAGCGAATTATTATGTAAATCGTAAGATAATAATAATTTAGTAAAACGCAAGTGCAAGTACGTCGCATACCTTAGAACAAATTGGTGATTCAATTGATTTCATAATAGATATAAGATTAATGGTGATATATTATATTAGTAACTGTTCCTGGATTCACGGAATAATATACATTTCAGTCATTAAATTTAATTGTCTTGCCGTGAATATTAATCAACGCACTGCACCTAGTAATTTGCATAAAACGCGTCTTACTTTATTTGCTTGGACTATTAGAATGTAAAACATTTGTATATAATAAGAAAAAACCGCTAAGAAATTATTTAATATTATTTTAACATAACATATCATTACGCTGCGCACTATGTATCATATTAACATGGTACAACATTAATTCTTGCGCGTTTTATCATAATATTATTATTGTACAGACATTTAAGGATTTTTTAATATTATTGATAATCGTATAGTAATGTACTTTACTATAGTTGGTGAAAATAATACCTAACAACGACAGTGTGAAAGTGGTAAACAAAAATTAACCATATTAAAAGATTTTTGAGAATCATTTAAGTATTGTAATTATAATTATAATATTTATAATATACTCGAAAATAATAAATAAATTAAATATTAATATGCCAACTCACCCATCAAGAACAATGTATTTGCATTTTTCAAGTACTTATTTATTCTGTTCATAGACTAATACGTATACACTTGTTACGAGTGCATGCATTTTATTTATTGATTTATTTATTGTGAA